TGATAGCCGATTTCAGTTTAATAGCTTTTTACACTTTTTAAATAGTCATATAAATGGATGCATTATATGAATTGATAGTGCAGATGAGGCTAATTAAACACATACAAACAAAGATCCTATTTGTAGCATAGGAGAACAAAACCTAAGTAAATCTTGTCAAGTTTGCTACGATAAAAAGGAAATAAGTTTCTTTCTTTTCTTCTTCTTCCTTCCTTATATTATGCAAAAGCCGACTGTTCATTATTTGTCTTCTTGTTTTCTGTGTATTCAGATTGTCGCTTTTCTGTTTTCTAGACCGACCTCGACCTATACAGATCATTGGGAATTTATCGCGAGCTATTGTTACTATTCGTACAATGTAAAAGAACTTACATTAAATAAATATAATTTAGAGCCATAAAAAGATTGTAATTATATAAATCTCCACAAAAAAATAATTTCATGTATTTTTACTTATCTCTCATCTTGTGTAATGTGAGGACGTGGCATCTTTCTATTTTATTAGATTTTCTATATACTTGTTGACATTGTTACTTTTCAGAATTCTTTCAGATATTCCAAGGAAGCAGCATCATAGTCCAAATCTAATCTCATAATTCTTAAATATCCCGATATGACAAAAACTTGTGACGTCCCGCCTCGCTTATAATTTCTTGACAAAATTTTTTTCTTTACATTACATAATTTTTCTTTGTACTTTTCCACTGTGTAACGTATCAGAAAACCACCAACCTATTTCCTGCACGTGTGCGATCTATTCGTCGTCTACAGCACTACACGCGCATTCCAAAAGTGCGGTAAAGGCCTAATGTTATAATCACATCCGCTGAGCCTTAGAATAAGAAGAACGGATGAACGCACAAGATAATGCCAGTCAATAACAATACTGAAACCGTTGCCAGAAAATGAATATCCTGCGACCAAACAAAGCTGAATTATTAGCTGTCATTGCGCGGCTAATGCCACGTGTAGCCTCTGCTTTTGCAAGAGCTCGCGATTTTTTTTTAGGATAGTAGAGCGCGCCCACGGGAATAGGTACAAAGCAAAAGCCTTACCAGGGTTAATATCGGCATATAAAAGAAGCCTCTTTTTGGCCATACCATTCATTATTAATTTTTTTTTCAGTTAAGCTCATTATTAATCTTCAATTAAGTTGATAATTCAATGGTTCAGTGAAAGTAAGTTCATTCTTTAATTAGTTAGTATTTATTTAGAAGTATTTTCATTTATCATTTTTATCGTTCAACTATTAATTGTTGTGTATGTGTACCAGCGTGTTGCGTAAATAGTTGCGAGTGATAATCAGTTCTCGCAATTCTCGAATTACCCAGAAAATTCAGAAGAACCACTTAAACGCGATATTAGTAAGACAACTTGTAAAAGTAAGCCACTAACTATGTATAAAGACGCATTATTTGTAAGTATTTTTTTCCAATTTAAATAATCTTTAGAACCAGAGCTACGGTGATCAGAAATTAGCATGCACCCTTAATAAATACATCGATCTATTCCTCATTCCTTTTGATTATTTGACTACACTCAAAAATTGTTAGCTATCTAAATCATTAATAAATCTTTTGGAAAGACAAGCCTGCCTTGTCCTGGTAATACTCGGTGCACGCAGAGTGGCTAAAACAGGCTTTTAGTAAATAAGTTTAACTTCTTGCGTCTCCGGACGTAACAAACTATTACCTCAAGCATTGCTAACCTACGTGAGCTATTTACTATTACTGCATCTTATTATCTGCCGTTAATAAATTTAATGAATATTAAGATTTTACCGATTTGAATTGGTAATTTAAATGTTTTTAAATTAACCTTAGTGTCATTACTATTTAATTTTATAAAAACCTTGCCCAGAGCTACGTGCATAAGCAATGACGTTAACTCATGTTTTTTTAGATAAAACAATTGTCCACAAAATCTGCAGAGTAACCGTTTCCGGGATGACGTCTAGAAATATTTTAAAATTCTAAGCAATGACGTTTTTTCAGGCTATCATTAATCTGTAAAACGGACGCCAACCATATACGTTTTAATATAAGGAAAATCTGTATATATAAGGGAGATTTATTCTTTCTGAGATAATGATAAAGGAATGATTTTCTCTCCAAAACAAAGTTTAAATTTATTACTGTTTATAAAAACTATTTATAACCATTACAAAATTACCTGATAAACAAAGAAACAATAATTAATGTTTATTATTATCCCTTTTTTTATTCACTCCCAACGAAATCTATTCTTATCTATCACTCAATCTATTCAATACCGTTATTATAATTATAAATCTATCTCTCTCTTGTACGTTACTTCTTCTAACCTCTTTACCCAGGTCTTCCAACCATCTAGTGAGAGTTAATTGAAGGAAGCGTGCGCAGTATGTGAAGCGTAGCAAATTCAAATAAGGAAAGCCTACCTTCTTTACATATACATAATTTCAAAATAATTTATATTTTATTATTTTAAAATTACAATAGCCTCTTATTACAATTTTAAATAATTACAAACCTCCTTTAATTAACTCCTACTAAATGATTGGAAAATTTGTGTAAAGAGGTTAGAAGGAGTAACGTACTAGAGAGAGATAGATTTATAATTATAATAACAGTATCGAATAGATTGAGTGATAGATAAGAATAGATTTCGTTGGGAGTGAATAAAAAAAGGGATAATAATAAACAAATAAACATTAATGATTGGAAAATTTGTGTAAAGAGGTTAGAAGGAGTAACGTACTAGAGAGAGATAGATTTATAATTATAATAACAGTATCGAATAGATAGAGTATATATATAATAGACAGGAATAAATTTCGTTGGGAGTTAATAAGAAAAGGGATAATAATAAACATTAATTATTGTTTCTTTGTTTTGCAGGTAATTTTGTAATGTTATAAATAGTTTGTGAGAAATAGTTATAAATAATTAATTGTGTTTCAGAGAAACACATTCGTTTATCATTATCTAAGAAAGTTTACTTTTCCCTTATATATATATATAAAGCAAATGTTTTTCATGTTATATAATAAAGATATTATGTATTGTTTTTTATTTTAATTAATATTCTATCTAATCTGCTACTGACCAAGAACTGTTTCATCAAGCATTTTTATCGAGTAAACATATTTTGTAGTATTACTCACATAAGCACTTTTAGCAAATATCTAATTAAAAAATATAAATCCTAATGAAGTAGTAGAAACAGAAAGATTTAGAAGATTTTCAGAATTTGACATTAACTAAACATATTTTCGTTACAAAAAGTCCTGAAAAATCTTGATTTACCCACGTTTTTGCGACATACATCTTTTTCATGTAGGTATGCTCAGGTAATCGATATAAAAATCAAATGATTATATTTGTTGCATATTAATAATATGATGATTTCCCTTCTTATTGATTTAATGAGCTTAGATATTTGTCCCACTGTTATGTATTAAATAATCTATATAGTATAGCAACGAGTTCTGCAGCATCTGTGCAGAGCAGAGGGCTTAATCATTTCAAAACCAACGATATTTTCCTGTAATATTAATTAAATTTATTTTGTGTGAATTTATTTTCAACGAAATTAAGCAGTGTAAATTATATCTTATAAATGCTAGTTTCTTTTACTTCTATTCAAAATTTGTCTTTACTGAGGTTTCATAAGCGATCTTTGTTTAATTTAGCTGCATTGGACGATGAGAAAAAAAACTTCCACACGTAATGGACAAAGCTTATTGCTACATTTATCGAACGCTTTAGTGATTTTGTAATACTTAGCAAAAGAATTGTCAAATTCGTTTTCATTTCTTGTCGATCGAATGTATAATCAAGTCAGCCCATATAAATATTGTAGCTTCTTTGCGCAAGTTGTACACTTCATCGCATACAATGACCGTTGCACTACTTTTTCCTCTACATAAAATCACATTTTTGTTAATCTCGGATTGGCGTATTAGAAGCTATCAATAATTCTCTTAACGAAAGTTATTAATATAAATAAGAGATTATTAATATGTCAAAAAGACAATCCCAACTCACAAACGGCAAACGGCGAGAGCAAACAACTTAGCAATTTTGTTGTAATTTACTTGAATAATAACCGTTGTTGTTTAGAAAACTCTAACATTCTTTGGTTTTTGTTTCCTTATCTTGTGTTTAAAAAAAATAATATTAAATTCGTAATCACTTACTTAAAAAAATTTTAATTTACGAATTTAAAAAAAATTAAACTACATGGCCATAATATAACTTAATTTTATAAATTTAAAACTTTTGAACGCGGTTTGTATTCATTTCCTTTTTACGGTAAATAATTGCTAGATGCTCTTGATTTTAGATTGATTGAGTAAATCGTTACTTTGCAGAAAGACATTCTCACGATTACGAAACAGTTTCCTATCGTATTATATGCCAATTAAAAATGTTATTTCTTTACATCTTATACGTACGGAATAATACATATTTAAATCCAGTGGTTGTATAACGAATCCACGTCAGGGGATATATAACCGCAGTCGAAGCAAGTTACACCGAATAATATCCAGAGAGTTTTTATCGTTAGTACGTTTATAATACATTAGTCTACTATAATCGTTTTGAGTCACTTACTACCATACTTATTTATTCAAAAGATTGCAAATAAATAGAAGTTCTTTTTTAATTGCTTTAAATCAGAAAATTATTTTTTTTGTGTTAAAAGTCTTTTCTGTCTGAAAGTCAAAGAAAGCCAAATTTTATTGTAAATAAGATAAAAAAGAAGACAAATTAAATTTTTTATTTATATGCATGTTATTAAAATAGATCATTTTTAGATAATTTCAAAGTGTTACAGAAATCTGAAAACACCAAAATTGTACTCTTAATCATTATGAAGTGCATGTATTTCTTCATTAAATATTACTATTAATTTTTCTTTAAATTTGCTCAAAATTTATTTATCAAATTTATTTATAGAAACTTTTTTCGTTGTTTGTATGAAATATTTATATATATTATAAAGGAATCCAAGAAATGGCGCCATTAAGCGGTAGAACGTATCAAGAGGAACTGTTTTCAATAGTGGAAGAACCGAATTTTGATAATGAACGAAGTGAAATAGCTACATTTTATTCTGGAAAAATAATATTCATAACAGGAGGCTTAGGATTCTTAGGAAGGCTTATACTGGAAAAGGTTTTAAGGTAACAATATTTTACATTTGTTTTCGTTCTCAATTAAACTTACATAATTCCTATAAACATTCAATCATAAGTTTTACATAAATTTAGATACTATGTTAGATAAACTAGTCCTTATTTTAAGTATTTCTGAATTGGTATGCTCCAAAAGGTTTATACGTGGAGAAATACAAAAAACTAGTGGTTTGACTTATGTATGCACGAAAGAAGTTATACTTCTTTTGAGTTACAAAACATTTTTCTTTTTCAACCTATACGCTTTACAACGATCCGCGAATGCTTGTAAGGGATACTTTCTTTTAATTACATTTTTGTAACGGTAGTAGTAGGCATTACACTTCTCTGCATTAATTTTAAGAATCTCCAAAATTGAAACAGAAATTTTAATGCATACTGATACCAAGCAAAAAAATGCAAGAGATTATAGTTTAATTATAATTATTAGAGAAAAAAATTTTTAAATAATAAAAATGCATTTATTTTTTAATTCTTTTGGAAGAATAAAAATGCACATGGGGTTTCTTTCCAGTGTGAATCAAAACACGATGTTTTCAAAAAATTTGCATGATCTTAGTGTTGACAGCTTTATCTTATCGTTGTTGAAAATAATGCTCTCTCTCTTTCAGTAAAATGATTGATTTCCTTTGCGAAAAGAATTAATTTTCTAATGCTTTRAATAAATATTTTTTAAGAGAATTATATAATATATGATAGTTTTTTTTTGAAGCAAGAATATTATTTTTTCCTTTTACCAGGTTAATATCTTGCTTATTTCTTGCAGTTATAGCAGCATTCTGTTTGCATAATAATTCGCAGGGAGTCTTTACTAGTTAGTAGAAATCTTTATATTGTTAACCACTGGAAATTAAAATTTATATACACAGATCTAATGCTTAAATAGAGTCTTTTCTTTGGTGTCTTACGGTCTTTGATTGAAATAAAAAATGTAGTACCGCATATATAGCTAAAACTATTTAGGAAAGTAGTTTATCTGTATAAAATATAAAAAATATAAAAAGGGAAGCAAAGAATAATAAGGTAAATTAAAAAACAATATTATACATATAATTTAGTCGGTTAAGTATTTTAAATAAACAGAATATTTCTATTCTACTTACTTATGTCTGGTATAACATCACGATAAAAAGAACAATTGTAATTCCTCATGCGAAGATAGCACAGCACGTTATCTAGTTTATTCATTTTCAACCTAAACGGGAGATCACTATAGAGAAAAAATTAACAAAATAAAACTAATACATAATAATGCATACCTTAGTGAACCTTAAAAAACAAATTAACATTATTACATACCTTAAATCACCTTTAAAAAATCTCTTAATACAAACATTCACAAATAATCAATGTTTTTGAAGACATAATCAAAGATATTCGCAGTTATTTAATATCAATTACTGTTGTATGTAATAATTAAATAACTCCGAAAAAACAAAATTTTTATTTGTATCGATATAAAACACGTGTTGTGTGTATAGAAATATCACAATATCAATATTACTCCGCACAAAATAAAAAAAAGATATATCAACCTACCTCATGTATTAAATTCAAATCGCTTTGCCTGCGCATCGTCAATACAAACAAACTTTACCCCGTACATTTTTTGGCCGATGTGCACTCATTGTAAAAATTACACTAAAAAATTTTTCCCAAACACGCTAAAAAAAAGTATAACTTAAAAAAAATTTTGCAGGTTTCGAGTTCTTTTCTTAATTTTAAGTCTTGCTGCACAGCGATGTAAGTTTCCTCTTTAAATAGCATGGAATTTTTGTCAGTTAATAATCACTTTTTTTTCTATCTAATATAAAGTAATTTATGAAATAATTTGAAATTCTGCAGACCTTACCATTGCAATAGTAGCTACTCATCGAAATTTTAAAAGATTTTTAGCTATTATTATTCTTGAATTGCAGCTTAATAAAAGAAAATTTCAAATTAAATCAATGTTTAGATMACGCAAAGTACGCATATTTTTTTTATGCATTCGTCTCATAATCTCTATTTAATTTCATTGTACTTTTAATAAGTCCTTCTCCATTCTGCTAGTCCTCTTTTTTGGTCCTAGTAAATATAATTTTTTTTCTCTCTTTGTAAAATTATCCCTTTCCTTCTGTTGTTGCGACCGATGCCTTAATCGGTACTCCAGTGAATAGTAGTGAATCGAAAAATGCCCTTACGGGTGATATCGAGATTCTTTATTAACGGGAAGGAGGATAGGAAAAATAAAACACAATAACGACTTTATTTGAGCCCAGTCAGTACTAAAAAGTACGCCTTTATTTGG